GAGTAGAAATACTCCTAGTCGCTTCATGCTACAGAAACCGGGATAAGCTCCGGCCTGATGGGCCACTTGGCTCGAATGCAGACTTTTTAGTGACTGTGAGTCCATGTATTTTAGATAATGTTGGTGATGCTTTTAGCGACAAGATGACATTATTTTTGTTTGACTGTTATTCTTTTAGACTGTGACAACTAGGACTGGAACATTTGAGAAGTTTAGTAGTGAATTCTCATGGCACCCACCTTCAACGAAACTGAAACTGAGTGTGGAGTCAGGAGATTGGAAAAATAACGACATAAAAGTGGTAATATGATGGTTAGATAAACACTAGATAAATTTAGATACTGTTAAAAGGCCTAAGTGACAACTTGAGAATGACATTGTACCCTTCATACAAAGGATAAACCACTTGCTATTAAAAAAAAAATAGGTCCGCAATGCGTACTTGTGTGCTTATGCTTAGTTTAATTCCATTCGGTTGGAGTTTGTTTTTAAATGTAAGTATGTGGGAGTTGAATTGCTATAAGTGAGAAGGCAATCACTGCAAAGGTAAAGGTGTAGAAATGAGTGAATTATGTGACATTGGTCTTTTAGATTCCTGGTATCAGCAAAGACAAGTCTTTACAACTATTTAAGTGGGAAATTTATTGCAGAATACTGTTTACGACAACGAACTGACAATGTTGACTGGTACATGTCAATCTTGGAGCGACTTGTATTGAGTCCTTTTCGCAGTATCCTTTACGATTCAAAACATCTAAGTCACAGTTGGGTTACGTACCTTCAAACAATTAAGAACAATTTTACAACACAAAATCAATGAACCATAGTAATTCCCTAAACTGTACTTGCAAAGTTGCTCATTTACTGACGCTTTTTCGAGAACGAAACTACACTTCTTCAAGCTAAGCTTGTGTGACAGCCGCGTACCTTTGCGACATGACACCAACTAATGTAAGCCTCCAGGTGTTTTGATACGAACACCATACTAAATGACCTGAAAATGACCAACACCGTGTGCAACTTTTTGCATTTATGAGCTTACTAGTTTGCTTTCACAGTTTTTTTTTTTTTTGTCAAACTACCTGTTTACGGTCTCCTTTGCAGCCGTAAAAACTTAACACTTCAACTCTACAGTTTGAAAACAAGGAAAACTGAGCTCTTTTCAGTCATCAAAAATATTTTAGCGGGGTATAACAGCGCGAGTGTGAAGTAAAAGCGGGTGATCCATGCATCGCACTACTCAAAGTGAACCTACGATCAAGCCATTTTTTCGCGCTCTTAATTCTCTTTACGGTCCACTTCAATTTCGCCTCATTTAGCACTCGGAAAAAAACCACCTGATCGCAGGTTAAGCTTTTCAAACCGCCTGTTGTACAGGAAACTATTTCGATAATTCAGATAACGTTTTTACCAGCGGTAGTTTGTTAATCTTTTAGTCAAATAACGCTGCACACGAATTTGCAAAACGCTTTGTCAAGAGCGCCCGGGGGAGGGGGGGGGGTGCTCCTCAAACCCACAAGATTTTGCCAGCTATAATGGGATTATGCAATCCCACAAAAATAAATAAATAAATAAATAATTCTTTGGCCTCATACTCGAGTTTCCTGGTCTGTCACTCCAATGATAACTTGTGGTCTTTCGCTATAGCCTGTGTCCGAATTTGTTTCACGCCCAAATTTTGATTAGCCTTCGAGCAGAAAGCATTAGATCAGGGATGCCCGGGGGAAACTGCCAAATGAAAAATGTGGGGATCTCGTTGGAAAATTTGTAAACTCCTAGGGGAGACCGATCTGGGCGTAGCTCGAGCTTTATTTAACCCCTAAAAGATACCACTTAAAACGGAATAGGCTTGATTATCTTGGTACAAGCCACTGTTCAGGAAAGAAGCTCGCGCTGGTAGACTGGATTCGAGAGACCGGCGGTAAACGAGCCTAAAACCGGAAATAAGAGCGTTTTTTATTATTGCTTCTTCAAGTGCACTCCAAAAGATAATTTGAGAGCTTAAAATAGTGGCGTTTCGTCATGAACACCCTACGGGAGACCAGCATCCTTGATTTATACCCGTAAGTGAGAAAGCGAGCCTCCCCGACCTTTTCATTTGGGAGTCCCCCTTCTGGAAAGTGACTTTTCCTTTCTGTGTTCAAAACAAAGGTTTCATCAGTTCTCGGTTACTCACTGAAGTTTCTTCAACCTAGTCTGAAGAGCTCGTAAACAACAAAGAATACAACTCATCAATAGTATGAGTCAATTTTAAACCCCAACACATTGAATTTTTAGCTCCAAAAACAAAATTCATTCTCATCTTTTATGGTCTTGTTGCTCTTAAAGCAATGTCAGTCTGCCTAGCTTGTGCTTCAATACATGTGTAGCCCAAAATAATTAATTTAAAATGTCACTGAAATGGAAGGTCAACTGAAAACATTGGAAGTAGCAAAAAACATAATTGAATTGTTTTCTTTGAGAAACTCGCAATTAATAACTATTGTTATTAAGATATCACTGCGCCTGCCAAATTAAGGGTGTTTTCCTTTTCCAAGGCAATAGTACTGTTCACTTACTACTTTATCTCTTTTATCTTTTGCTAAAGTACACTATATTAAAGAATGAACCATATTTTCACTTTTTAATTGAATGGAAGCCAGAATTTAGCTTAGTCTCTAAAAGAGTACTCCACTACATTTGGAATCGAAAGAAGGTTTTCCTCAACTTTAAATACAAGGATAATAAGTGATAATAATTATTATGCCTATCTTCACTGAGTGGTATTTCAAAGGTTGCTAACGCGCATTAATTTCCATGTTTCATTTAAAGGTTTGTAAGGCGTATCTACAGTACAAGTGAAAATCTGCGAACGTACCCTGTCTTTGATGGCATTTATTTCTCAGACCTGGCCGTGCTAAATTCAAATAAAGGGTAGAAAATATAAAAATTCATCGTGGTCTTTATCATCTGTTCTCACGGTGACTTTGACTTTTGGTGCTTCTGTGCACGTGGCATATGCATATTTTAAAAGCTGGCCGCCCCTGGTCTCAAGACTCCTCTTAAGTAAACCCGCTGACCGGCCATGTTTCTGCTTTGAACGGATTTATTGTAAGTGTCCTCGTTTTCTTTGGCGATGTTTAGTTTATTATATTGTAATTCTAGTGTCCCTAATTCGATTTTAGAAAGGCTCCTTCATTGTTGATAAATTACATGCATAGTTATCATTCTTTCAAATTGGCAATTATCCATGCACGTCATTCTATCAAGCATTCTCTCTCGGGATTTCTCCATCTATTGTAAAGCAGCTGGCATGTCCATGCCAACTAGCGGCACTGGATCTCTCTTACCAGTGTTTTGTCTGATGTTAAACTTTTGCCAGGTGTAAAAGGGTGGACCATTATATGTATTCCATTAGACTACCCTTCAATTCCTACCCCGTGCCCCATAACAAATGAATGGTCCCTTAATCCCGGGCTTTTTCTATTTATACAACCCATTGGACAGAAGTACTGAACACAAATTAAGTTAACATGTCGAAAGGTACAACAAAATAGAACAGCCTCCATGACAGGGAATGGCAGTAAGATGCTTCACGAATTACACTGTCTTGTGACCTAAAATTGTTTCCCACGCAAAGTGTAAGCAAAAAAGCATTTTTCCAGCCAATTTGTAGTGGAATGCTATAACAGAGATACGGCTACTTAATCAATCACTGCCAGTTGTTAGTTTACTTGTTTGTATTGTTTTAGATTGAAAAAAGTAAGCTAGACCAGAGTACCTTACCAGAAGAATACACGTTCAATCCTCCAATGAACATCGGACCAACGATGGCATTAGAGGTCAAGCTTATTAACGAAGACGACAAGCCTATACTGGACACTGGACCAGTGGTTATCAATTTTGCAGAGCCTGTGAGTTCTTTTTTTTTCTTTTTTTTTCTTTTTTTTTTTTTACAAATGTACTTTCAATGAGCATACAGTTAGACTTCGTATCCCTACTGAAAAAGTATATACAATGTGTAAATAGGGCTTGCATGTATAAATACATGTAAGAAGCTCAGAGTTCCATGATTATTTTGTGCATCATGGGCTACTGCAAATTTGTTTGTCTTGCATGCCCTGTTAACCAGGATTATGCTGAATGAAATTCAGGTATTGTGTGGAGTTTCTTTCTGGTGTTTTTGTCGCAGTTTTTGCAGTCACTGTACGTCAGTTGTTGTTGAAGTCGTTCAGTCGGAATCGTTGAGGAAGAATTGAGTTATAAATTCGTTTACAGAGACCTTCAATATGTCCAACCGAGCCGGGCCTTTGCAATAATAAACCGAGCCGAGCCTTTGTTATAGTCGCAAAGGCTCGCTTCGGTTTAGTCGGGGTAGAGCGCGCGAGCAAGCGGCGAGAGCGGCGATGCCGCGAGGGGCCTGCTGTCGACCGGGGTAATCAGCATCTCTTTGTCGACAGCGAATCCCAGCTACGCAAGCTACAGTGTGACCAACTACCACAAGAGGCTTTTCTTGGAGTCGTGGCACTCTTTAGACAGCGCCGCCGTCAACGACCCAACGTCGCGCTTTAAAATAGAACTCCGCAATTGGGTGCTTTCATTTGGCAGAAACTCACTTCTATCTTAACCTGCAGAACTATGGGCGGCCGTCACCACCAAAAATACGAGATTATTAAACGGCACAGAACAAACATAAATGGTTTAGTGATGGTTTGCGAAATGGAATAAATGATT